ATTTCTCTAATATCTTAAACAATTGTCAATCTGTCATTAAACACTTACAACATGTGTACAAACTAATGAATTATTTGGATTTTATAGTAATTTATAATGGATTTCAAATTTGATTTAAGGTGGTAAAAAATAGATAGGTCAATTTTTTCCCCAAATTCAATTTCTCTGATACTTTGATCTTTTGCTCTAGGATACAAAACCTCTTCCATATATGATATGAAAGAAATTCAATCACACATTTTTGTCCACATAGTTTGAAATATGGCCTGTAAGAAAGTTGTGAAATCAGACATTCAACATTTTTCAACATTATCAATTAATTTATTGAAAACTTGCATGATGCTGTTTATAAAGACAATATTATTGTTACTGGTACTTGAATTCAATAGGTTTAGTTATAATGATACTGGTAAATTTGAATAAGATATTATGTAAAAATAGAGCATACATATAAGTGTCAGAATTGAAAATAATTCACAAGTAACTATGCTACACACAAAGTTATCTCACAAGAAATTGTATAATTCAATTTTTACAAAAAATCAACAGAATGATTCTAATGGGTCCCAGAATAAATTGTGTCAAAATAAGGAAAATTGAACTGATAGTTTTAGATATTTCATCACAATATTTTTTCTTTAACTTTTTATCTTTAACCTCTTGATATGACATTGACCTTTACAGTACATTTAACATCTCGTAATATATGTGTCCAAATATCAGCCCTCTACTATACAAGGAACATAAGTTACACTGCATTTCGTAACAGACTTACAGTCTGTACTGCATTTAAACAGCATTAAGCGATTCTAAAATGTAAGCTACCAAGTGACCAATACATGTATTTAGAATTCTCTGATTTTTTCCCCACAAAATATGATGTCAATTTTTGCTTGCTTAAGTAGCGCATAAAATATCTACCAAACTAAGTGATTTTGTCTTCAAATACTGGGCAAGTTCTTATAATTGAGAGTTGTCTTACTGGTAGCTTGTCTAGCATTGTAGTGCATATGCAAGATGTTTTTTTTTTCACTTTACTATCTGGTTTTATCTCTTTGTATGATATATAATTTTATATTGTGTGTGGACTCTACACACTGATAGATGTTTGAAGTTATAAATCTAACTTTATCATCACTGTAATGAAAATGAACTGTCTATCCCAACATTAACAATATTTCAGTGACATTGCATCTTACTGAACGGTGTGTCGATTTACCCAAATGGAGCCAAAGGTGACTCAAATGGACTTCTGTAGACTTTATATCAAAACTAAAATGCATCTACAGTTAATTCTCGATAAACCGCCACCTTTTGTGATTTAGAAATCATGGCGTTATAACGAATTTGGCGATGAATTGAATTTCCCATCTTTTAGGAAACAAGAAGTAGAGTTACCGTTCTTAGAAATACCATAAAGCGTTTCTCTTCTTATAATTACATGTACATGTATAAAAAACATATTTCTAAATTTCAAAATACTTCAAGTAATTTTTTATGTACAATTTCTATAAAACAAAATGTGCAGTTATGAAATAAAGTACATGTGCATCTATGTACATGTAAATCGGCACGTCTGATATTGAAAAAAACATGCTGGGTCGATTGTCGTGATATATTGCTGACAGTACGTTAAAATGGTTTCTTGAATAAATTTATTGTTTATGGCATCATTGTTAATGAAACGTTCACAATTTATACCATATACCGGCAAACTTTGCATTGTTTAAAGCAGAGATCATCAAAATTCGGCGTACTTTCACAACTACCCTTTTCGTGGCGAAGCCGTGACTAAATGACTTTTGCTTTCTGCATTTTGAGATACACCGGTTTGAAGGAGACTGGCTACAGCTAGCTCCTGAATAGCTCTGCAAAACTGAATAGGTACATGTACATGGAGGGAAAAGGTTCTGTAATGAAACCTATTCCACAGAAACCTGGAAATAGCATCTGCAATTTATTTATTATTATTATTTTTATAATATACAGTCAATGGACAAAAGTATTCGTCATTTTCAAAATGGCGTCGCGTTGTTTACGTTCACAACGGGAGTTTTAAACGTAGATTTTTATACTTAATATTAAAGTCACTTACCTAATATTTGGTCAGATTTCCTTTCATACGTATTACTTCTTTAATCCGATCTGGAATGGATGCATAGAGGCTGTGAACGTATTCCAAGGGGATGTTTTCCCACACTTGTCTGATTGCCTGAAACAGCTGATCGCGACTTTCAATAGTTGCGGACATGCCTTTAAGCTCTCTTTTGATCTTTAACCAAATGTTTTCAATCACATTTAAATCTGGAGACTGAGCTGGCCAATCTGTGCAGTTAATATTATTTTCGGTCATATAGTTTTTCACTACGAGAGCCCTATGTACGGGAGCATTATCGTCTTGGAAAACATAGTCTTTGTTCGGGAAATGTCTGGCAATTACAGGCCATAAATTATTGTCAACTATTTCCAAGTATTTGAGTGCATTTATATTACCTTCGACAGGTACAATAGTTCCCATACCATCAAAACACATGCATCCCCAGATCATAAGTGTTACCCTCCTTTTCGATGGCGGACAAATCAAATGGGGACTGTTCGCTTCGGCGTCCTTTCTCCACACATACACACGGTTATCTGTCCCGATAACTGGTTGCAAGTGGCGAGACCATAATTTAACCTTACTTGTGTCTTGCATTACATTTATCGGCGAAACAAACGATAATTATTTTTATTTTATCTTGTTAAAATACTGTTTTACTTACAATAGATCGGTTTTGATTGCGAGTTTTACTGTTTACTAATCATAATTTGTTCTCTCGACTGACTCGAGTGCAAACAGCTGATTAAGTTGGATGCCGATCTCGATGTTTAAAAACATTAAACAGTTTATAGTACACTTCTGCTGTCGCTTTCTTTTCCCAAATAGTTTTTTTTTAAGTCAAATAAAAAATATTTAATTAAATTAGTCATATATTGCCCTTCTTCTTGCGTACTTTTAGAGATGAAGTATCATATGAAAGCCCAGATCAGATGCCGATCGCGATGCAATAGCGTCGAATGTCAAACACTTATTTTTCAAGATTTTTCTGAAAATATTCAAAAAACCAGAATTCTTTAACAGTCTTGGAACTTTATTACTTCGATTTTACTTCATTTTAAACACTAATTGCGTCTTTATAAGGCGATTACAACTTTCTCTGGGTCTAATTATACGAGTGCTGAATTGCAAGGCTACCGCTTTTTTGAGAGCGACACTGAGCACTAGCGACAGTTTTCACTGGTACACCGGTACTTATTATTTGGTTTGCAAGTTATCCCCTCTGGATCCTATTTTTGATTGTACATTTACACATATCGACCATTTAATGTCATCCTTTTATGTTCCTCACAATTAAGAATAATACAAGACTGTATATGCTTTTTCAAGTCTTTAATAAAGAACAAAAGTCAGAAAGTACAATATATGGCCTGTGAATTTCTTAAAAAATAAATCATCGTTTTCTTGAAAACTATTTGTGGTTTCCGTATCTACTCTACTTCGTCAATGCAGGGGTGGGTAGTTTTAGTCAAACCGGATGTTGGCTTCTTCATCGTAACGGCTAAAACCTATAAGGGTTTTGACTTTTCCGGAATTTTTCACCGATTTTACAGATTCACTTTAAAATTTCAAGTGGGGCGCATTCCTCTCGGAAAAAAATTCATGTATAAAATCAAACATTGGTATCTTACGCGTATTTTTCAACAAGTTTTTTTCTCCGAGAGGAATGCGCCCCATGCGTAAATTTAATATTTACGAATGTCGTTTGCTCAGCTGCGCATGCAGAAAGCAAATTTACTTTTATATAATTCGATGTTAATAAAACCTCGCACGGCAAGTATTAAGTCTTTCATAGGATAAGTTACTGTTAATTATGTAAACACAACCAGAAATCCTTTTGTTAAGCATATATGCATTATTTATGCGGGTAATTAGGGTAGGCTAAACAGATTCTAATATAGCCTAGTTCTCAGTTCAATTAAAAACATAATAAAATGTAGAAATGTTTTCGCGTTAGTCTATGCTTTCCACATCTGCATGTCTATTGTGGACCACTGTTAAACAGAAGTCCTCCAAAGTAGCCAGGTTATAACTATAAGGTCTATTTGCTTTTTTTTCTCTCTCAACATTTGACAAGTCGTCAGTATTTTCTCGTGACGTCACAATGTACAGAAAATGACGTCAAAGTTTTTAGGGAACTTCAATATTTTTCGTACTCGTGGTGATTGTAGATCAATAACTTTAGATGTTCAAAAAATATCAATTTTTGAAAATTTTAAATAAATAACATTATTACTATTTAAAGTTTACTTAGTACATAGGCTTCAATATGTATTCTGTGTGTTACATAATCATTATCGCGCATCGGGTAGATCGCGAGTGATTAACTTGTAAATGTCTACAGGTCAGATACAGTATATGTTCACTCAATCTTTTCATGGTTATATTTTGCTCAGACATTGATATTTTTCATTTAGTCATGTTCCAGAGAGCGTGCGAGAGAGTGAGAGGGAGATCCACTAATATTTCAATAATTTGTAGATTATGCTTTTTAAAAATTAGTTTATACTCTGTCCCACCAAGTTACTGTAAGCACTTTTCGCATAATATCTCAAAATATATAAATACCTTGGCCTTCAACCCGCTTCCGATTGATAGATCATTTTTTTTCCAACCTTCCTCCGTTTATCCGAACCCTCGGGGTCAACCAGTGCAAACACACGGCGGCAAATTCAAAGTCTACGGAGATTTAACATTGTCAAAATGGCCACCACTTCGGAAGGGGATCATCCATTGTTCGTAATTTTCCGTACGTTGCCGTCAGTAAGGAAATGACGTCACACACGTTCGGGAGTGCTCTATGGTTATCGACGTCCGAAAAACCTATAACGCCCGAGACTTCCAAGTATATATTTATATTACAAGAAATTACGTCTTCAACAAAACTTTCATACCCAGACCCAGACCGAAGGGACCAAAGATTCATAAAAGGGTTATTCACTGCATAAAGGCAAAGAGGTATGACTCAATTCATACATAACATTTCGATAAAACAATCGAGGCTAGGCTACTGCAAATTTAGCTCAAGTGAAATTAGTTTTATAATTTATCACCCAAAACGTAACACTAGCTAGAGATCAATCAAAGTAATATAACTAGTATTAAGATTTTTAAAAATTATAAATGCTGCCTTACCTTAACGTTTCACCTTAGCTTTCCTTATAAATCCAACTCCTTATAGTTTGTTAAAAAACTGTAACACACGGTCAAAATAAGTATCATATTATCGTTTCTATGTCACAGTATGTGAACAATTAAGTGATGTCCTCACATGCACATACCACAGTATTCCTTGACTTTGTTATACTTCCAACTCTTTGAACACATAAATCCTTCGTTGATATTTTATTTTTAATCTAGAGCAAAACAACATTTGTTGTCTGCATCAAACTACGTCACCAATGAATTTTGACCTTGCCCTTACAAACCTTCCTGTAATATCGGTGTTTGGTAAATTCAGACCCAGGATATACATTTTTGTTTACCTTAAATATAACAGAATACCAAGATTTAAAATATTCCTATACACATAAAATTAAAATACATAACGCAAGTGTGAAGGATTATGATTTTTAAAAATATATTATAATTTTTTTCCCTTCTCTATTTCAATAAAACAATTTAACAGATAAAATATTTTATGAGTTTTCAGAACAAAAATTTTCATTGCAGGAATCTGAATAGCTGCCTGGTGCAACTACAAGATAGAAAAGCACAAACATGTACATTATATATATTAAGCCATAAGTACCTACAGATACATGTATATTGAAGGTATGAAATAATGCAGGTTTCTCGAGTTTGATTTTTGAGTCCCAGTAAAATTTCAAAGTAAGTTTATTCATTAACAATTAGTACACAAACATACATATATGCCTATATCATATACCTAATAGTGTATCAGCCTTGATACAGATGTTTTGGACTAGGTGAGACAGCGCCTAGCAAGGCCAACAAAAAATAATTGTCTTGTTTCCTGCTACCAGCCTGGAAAAAATTGGGTAGGTAGGCAGGAAAATTATTTTATTTTTTAATTTCTTTTTATTTTCGATATGAACTAATAAAAAACCAAATTAAACATGTCATAGACCAATATTTTCATTACAAATTAAATTTTGTCTTTTGATGCATGACTCAAGTGGTATGTTATGAAAATCCATATTTAAAACATATAGTATCATAAAATACCACTTGAATATACATTATTTTTTTTCAGTTTTGGAACATGAAATTATGGAAATTCCAGATTTTTTCCAAACCTAAAAAACTTTAGGGTCAGGTGCAAAAAATTAGGGTAGGTTGGGTAACAGGAAACGAGACTATTTTTTTTTTGGGCCTGAGTAGAGCTGTCTTGCTCTCGGGGCCTAGATATCTCTGTCTCGGCCCATTGTTAAGGGGCTGTCTTGCCCTCAAATGTCAAATCATTATTTCTGTTTATTTATGTGAATTAAGAATAAAATTCATATTTAAGTAATTTAAGTAAGAGATTTTATATCAAAAATTTGTCTAGAATCTTTAAAAATTATTTATGGTAGAATATAGAGAAAATTGTTTATAAAATTGTAAAATACTTTGGAATCATTTTATTATACCTGTCTAAAATGGGCAAAGAAATTTCGAAATACTTTTACACTAAAACTTGTTTAGTACGAACACAGATATTGTGATTTCACAGATATAGCGAGGTAACCTTGGATCCCCAGCTATGTAAATGTAATGAATTCCTTATACGGATAAAACAAATTATGGTTAAAGCAAAGTAGTTACATAGGTCCCATTGACTTTTCTTTAACAGAGTTTTACTATATAAGGTAAACATTTTGACTTTTTACAAGACCTTTCTGAGAACTTCAAACAACCTTAAAGGACACTGAGAAGTTATAAACATTATCATGATAAAATGAAAACTGTTGCAAGAAAAGATTTAATTTTTAAAGCTTCATTTTGAGATTCTGAATTGAACAAGAGATGTTTGTAAAACACTTATGCCCCCCTCCCCCCAAAATGGAATTTTTCCAAGTCCAAAAGGGCATTACTCTGTCAAAAATGGCACGATCGTACCCAAAACAGAACTTGACCATGATATTTATCTGATAAATCTGCATACCAAATTTCATTGCAGTATGTGCAACCTCTGCAAAAAAAAGTGAAAGGAAACAGCAAATAATTGGAAATTTTTCTAAGTCCAATGGGCATAACTCTGTCAAAAATGGTGTGATCATACCCAAAACAAAACTTGATTTAGATATTCATGTGATAAACCTGTATACCAAATTTCATTTCAGTATGTGCAACAGTTGCGAAGAAAATGAACGGAAACTAAGTGGACCGACCGACAGACAGCAGCAAAGCAATATGCCTTCCCTTCTTCGAAGGGGGTCATAATTATAAATTAAAGAGTTATCCTTCTTGGCTGAGGATCCAAGTACCTTAACAGATTTTTATTAAGTCTTGTAAAATTATAATTTCTTGAAACATAAAACAGTTTTAGATTATAGGATAAACTAGTTTGTTTGAACTGTTTTCATCATTTTATTAAGTAAAATTTAAAAATATTTTAAAAGATAAATGAATTGTTTGTCCTATATTTAAGGATATTAGATCAAAATCAGAAGAATAAATGTCTATAAAAGTCAAGAGCCCACTGATGCTGGAGTCCATGCTGTAGAAAAGACATGAAACAGAAGTGAGAAAATGTCGACATCAGTCATCTATGACTGAAGATGGAGATTGTCTCTATTCTAAAATTTCCGAGGAAAATCTTGTTGTGGCTCATCCAATGATCACTCCATTTGCAGACTACCAGGTAATCTTTGGTTTTGTCAATACTTTGTGCCTGAAAAAAAAAAATAATGATAAAACATTTTAATTCGTCATAAAGATTTCAGTGCATAAAAAATACTTTTAAATTTGTGCAAAGTGAAATTTAAAGATACAATAAAAATTCAGATCGTGCTCATCATATTAATATGAATTATTTACTTATTAAAAATACATATATTTGGTCAATTCTCATTTTCAGGTTCCAGTCTGAAGTATACATAGGAAGAGCAAAATCTTTCTCATTCATATAAACACTTACTACCTGTGATCCAGAAGAATGTCCTGATTGTTTAGTCCAACATAAGATGGATTTCAATCTGACACTTTATTCTGAAAAATTAAGTGAACAGTCTTCTTAATGCAGGCATGTCTTTGTTACAATATCTCGACTCTGCATGGTCATCAAAACTTTGGACTCTTGTGAATTATTCAACCTATAAAAACATAATTTTGTAAGTAATAAAAGTATAATCAAATATTCTATGCTTCAGTTATAATTATATTTTTTTTATCAATGTTTGTTTATTCTTTCAAGTGGTGAGATTGTGCAGTATTACAGGTGCTTAGACACAGATTTGCAGTTAATATTTTCTCAAATTTTCTGTAAAATATTACGACTTATATAACAAGAGGCTCATGAGCCACATCACTTATAATTACCTGAATAGCTTTGACCATGCAGTTCTTTACCAAATTTCCTCCTTGTTATACCTTTTGTGACCCAACTTAACCCCTGTAGTCTTAATTTGAACAATTTAAAATCTACACTACCCCACAATGATTCATAAGTTTCAGCTTTGCTTGCCTAGTACCGGTAATTCCCAAGAAGAAGATTTTTTAGAGATTTTTCTTGTATATTTCATTGTAAAACTTGAGTTCCCTATTGTGGTCCCACCCTACACCAGGGGTCATAATTAAATAATTTAGAATCTACACTACCCCAGGATGCTTCTGCATAAGTTTCAACTTTTCTGGCCCAGTAGTTCTCTGGAAGAAGATTATGAATGCTGAGGGAAAAATATACACTTGAAAGATTAGAGGGAAAATTGTAACATGTATACACATCTGACAGGTGCTCAGAGCTTCAAAAAATCATTCTCAATACATGTATTTAAAAGAGACAGGATATTTTGAAGATCTTGAATATTATAGTAAACTTACTGCTTTTGTTATGCATATCATCTTTGCTTTAGTCAAAGGTTTCTGGTCTGCTTCTCTCCTTATACTGCAGTGGCTAAATCAAGCTTAACATTGCTGAAAGAAGATAAAGTGTCATAAAAGAGTACAGGACATCAATTTCATTATAAACTATAGTGTTCCAAGGAACACATATGTCACCTGCTTTTAGCATCTTTAAAGATGTATCTATAAAATCTAAGAGTGGTCAGCTATTTTTATGCTACTAGCATATACAGAATGCATCCCTCAACTGAATATTTAAGTTAAAATCATCATAAATAATTATTTATCATTTTACATGTGTTACGTGTTTCAAAGCAATTGTCTTATTGCACGATCCACTTTGTGGGATTCCATCCCAATGTATTTTCATAATATTTAAGATATCAGTTTGTGCGGTTTACTGAATATCATACAGTTTAAAAAAACAGTTTTATGAGCTCATAAACATGTATAAAATTAATGTTAATTATCAACACCCGTCACTCAATATTCAAAAGTCTTTAGTTAATTTAAATTTTCTGGGGTATCTTTGTAAAGTAGGTCAAAGTTCAAGTCAACCAAATACAGTACTAGCAAATAAGGACAACAATATAAACAAATTTCTTTCATGTACTCAGACTGACCCATCAAAACTACTCCAACCCAATCATTTTTTCAGCACTTTGAATTTTTGATTTCTTAAAAAAAAATGTTTTATTTATTAGAAATAGATACTGTTTCCTTTTAAAATTGTGGTATGTGATTTCTACTGGATGCTTTTAGATTAAATTTTTTTTTATTGATAAATATTTCATCTGTCTAGATATCCAGTGTGTATTGAAAATATTAATAAATTTATGAGTCTGGAATTTTTTAATGACACTTTGATATCAATTTGATCAATACTATTAAGCCAAAAAAAAAGATACCTACCTACCCACCTTGAAAAATATGTGTCAGAGTACATCAAACATAAATATTTTAACTAGAACTGTCCAAACGGGACAAAATACCCCCCGCTGGGTTTTTCAGAAGTAAGTTTTTCCTTAATAAAGATATGTATCAAACATGAATTATGAATTTTTTCTTCCAGTGACCTTGAACTTCCCCCAAATGACCTTGGGTCAAGGTCATGACACACCCTTGGGTCATGGGCAAACTTTGTGTGAAATGAGAACCTACCAAGTGTATCCATAAGAAAAATATGGACCGGACACGAATTATGAAATTTTTCTTCCAGTGACCTTGAACTTCTCCAAATGACCTTGGGTCAAGGTCATAACACACCCTTGGGTCATGGGCAATCTTTGTGTGAAATGAGAACCTACCAAGTTTATCCATAAGAAAGATATGGACTGGACACGAAATATGAAATTTTTCTTCCAGTGACCTTGAAGTTCCCCAAATGACCTTGGGTCAAGGTCATGACACACCCTTAGGTCATGGGCAATCTATGTGTGGAGTAGTAGATTCTAATGTCCCTCTGTAAGAAAGATATGGACCGGACACGATTGCACAGACAGGCGGACAAGGTGATTCCTATATACCCCCCCCCCAAACTTCGTTTGCGGGGGGTATAATTATCATGGCCTACGGTTTTTAAAACAAGTACTTTAAATGAAAATCTAGGGATTAAGGAAACAGAAATTTTCAAATTAAGTTCACATTTAAGCAGTATAGGACTTTACAGAAAAATAAAGTGCCACATCACAGCATGATACGCCCGTCAAAAAATTACAATTACAATGTATCTTAAACAGTTAAAAGTGCAGGAAAATCATGTCAACCTTGTTTTTAAGATTTCAATGATTTTTACACACCTTAAAAAATTTGTTTATCCATCTCCTGTGGTGGATTATTATAATTATAAGAAATATCGCATCATTCATAGATTTCTATACCTTGCCAAATGCCTATCATATTAAACAGTATCAAATAAGTCTTCACAACTTAATCTCTACCTTGTTAATTTTGGAAATAAAAGGCTGGCCATCAAATATAAACTGACCAACAGTTCTGTCTAATTCCCGAAGGATACAGATAAGACCATGCTCTGAAGAAATGAAAGAGACATGCAGCTAGCCTTCCTACATTGAACACATTAATTAATCTTTAACTGGATGCTTGTCTACTCATTACTCCCAAAAGATTATTGGATCTGCACTATCTACCATAAAACATTTTTAAAACATATAAAACATCAATGATTTTTTTTTTAGATTTAATGTCAGACAGTTAATTGTTAATATGCAATTCATATGGACATGCAGATTCCACCCCTACCCCCATAAAATTAATTTTTAAGTTCATAATATTATGTAATATCAAAATAGTTTAATATGCAATATCAAATTTGTTTTAATTACTTCTCATCAAATTCATTTTAAAACTTCGGCTAGCCAACAAGAGCTATTTTTAATTCAACAGGCTTACCCATTTGGCCCAATACTCAAGGGATATAGATAGCACCGATGCTCTTACAGCTACTCCTCACACTAAACTCATTAATTTCTCTCTCTAATTTGACATGCAATTTTCTGTTATCAAAGTTCTTCTTGACCAGTGCTTGATAATTAGACTCATGGGGGTGGTGGAATTTCTCTAACATACATTATATTTGTTATAGATTGCTGTCAAGTATATGCTAAAAAAATATGTATTTTCTTGATTTAACATTTTTCTAGTAAGGTTAGTGCAATAGTTTTACATTTTTTTGAATGTGTAAATGAATAGAAAAAAAAACATTTTTTTTTTGTTAAATTCAACTTAAATTAAAGGTCACAGTGACCTTGAAATAGGTCGCGACACACCTTCTACCTAAGATGCATAAACTGGCCAAGTTTGATGATTCTAAGTCTAACAGTTTTCTAGTTATGGACCGGACAGGATTTTTCCATATTTGGCTATAACTTTTTAATTATAGGTCAGAGCGACCTACTTTTTGTGCGCGACACACCTTCTACCCAAGATGTATCAGCTGACAAAGTTTGATAACTCTAGGCCTTATAGTATTAAAGTTATGAGCCGGACACGAGAAAAGCTAACAGATGGACGGACGGACGGATAGACAGACAGACAGACAGACACGAAGCCTGTAACATAATACGTCCCGTCTTAAGACGGGCGTATAAAAACGATGCTGTTCAGGCCATGTGCAGCTTTAAAATAGTCTTGCCCTCTCCCAACTCATGATTTATAGGTTGGTAGGTAATAAGGTATATGAGAAAATTATTCTCAGAAAAATTAATCATAAATTAATAATTTATTCTCCAGAATATTAAAAAAGTTACTTGCTTCCTGGAGATTAAAAAAAAAGTTTTGAGTCATTTTAGCCAGTTGGTTGGGACAGGGCAATCAAAATTTTTTTTCGAGATAACCAGACTGAGAATTTGAACTCTGAATATGTGCATGACAGCTAGTATTAATGGAAATTTCCCTCTGATGTTACATGTATATCAATTTTATTTAAAAGTCTGTACTCAGATGAAATGATTCAGCTTATCTTAACTTCTTATGCTGATCAAATTATTCAGACATGTTCTTTTATTTATTTTTTCTGTTTTCCTTTCATGAATAATTAATTAATTAATTGTATACTGTTTAACGTCCCTCTCCAGAATATTTCACTGATATGGAGACGTCACCATTGCCGGTGAAGGGCTGCAAATTTAGGCCTATGCTCGGCACTTAAGGCCTTTGAGCAGGGAGGGATCTTTATCGTGCTACACCTGCTGTGACACAGGGCCTCGGTTTAAACAGTCTCATTCGAAGGACCGCCCCATTTAGTCGCCTTTTACAACAAGCAAGGGGGTAGAGGACCTATTCTAACCTGGATCCCCACGGGACTCCTTTCATGAATACTACATATATAATTACTTTTCCATTTAAACTGCAAGGTCAAGACAAATCATTATTTTCTGAAACAGTACCTGCATATTCATCTACCTTATGCCTGTTTCTGCTAATTAATTCATCAATATGCATGCATGTACATAAATGACCATTATACTAGAACTCAATCCAAACACTTGATGAAAAAATACATGCACATTTTAATATTACAAAAAGTTTTGAAAAATAATTCCAAAATGTGTTATCTATTGAAAACTCTGTTTTGATGTCCCTAGGGTGTTGATACTACACATAAATGAAAAAATAAAAATGCACTTTAGATCTCTAACTTGTTATTTATTTGCCAAATGCATGTACATGAAATGTTATAATAAATTGGAAAATGAAAGTAGGAATAAAATTTTTAAACTTTAGTTACTATGTTAACTAGCTGTTATTTTCTTTTTGGTATTATTTCACCTAA